ACTGTAATTGAGTTAAAATATTGAGTGGGCTTGACAGGACATATTGAGAGGACATCTATAGGTTGCAATATTTTTGTCTTGTATGTTTTTTATATAAAAAAATATATATAACTCTCCCTGGCACAATTCTGTAAATGGTCTTAAACAAGACAAGGAAACTGTTGTAGAATACATTAAACCAAGGACACCATAACACCCAACCACTTCGCCAGTCACCAGTGCTGGTCTATACAACCCTTTTATTCAATTGTAAGAGCTGTGCTGCTTTGTCTGACACAGTTCTTTTCAATTTCCAAAGGCCCCTGCAGCAACATATTTTCATAATGATAAGTGTTACATTGTGAAGAATCTGTGTTTTGTAATTCACATGGATTAATCTTTGTTTCATTGCATTGTTGAGTACCATACACAGTACATTGCTGGATTATGTGTTTAGATTATCCCTTAAAACCTTTGCTGTGGAATTGCAAGTTAGTCTGTGGTTTTACCCTGCTCTGCCTTGCTGTTAGAAAATTTGTCATTGTTCTCTGTGCTTTACTTTGCTTCGGCTAGAACTTCACTGTAGAATCGAGTGTAGTGGTAACAGTTAAGCAGGGTTCTGTGCTCTGTGATGGGCTAATAATAATCAGGGGTCTCCCAGATACGTGGTGCTCAAACCACGTGTGTTCTCTCCTGGCTGCACCACAGGTGTGGACACCAAACAACACAAATGTCTCATCGTCCGAGAGCTCTGAAAATAATTTCCACCACTTCACACAACTGTTTCTTGCTCTGTTCTAGTTCTCATTCTCAATAACCTAACAGGTTATTTGTAGAGGGCAAATGTCGAAAACAGTCACAATACAAGGCCGTTAGATTGATGGATTGATGGACATTTGATCATTTAAATTTTGATGGAGAGATGTTTAGTTGCATTTGATATTTTTTATGTTCACCTAATAACTTTGACAGAGGAAGACAATCAGAAAATGAGCCTCTTTACGTCATGACCCTAATCTCTTGGACTGCATCCAGCTGTTGACACCTGAGCAGCAGCAGCATGGTCCTCCTGCTGAGATCACTGTCTTTGAGTAGAGACAGGTGTCTCTCCAGAGTGGATCACTGAGAAAAAGTGCTGGAATCATTCATCTCCTTTGTACCTTATTGAATTCAATAAATCAAGTGGGAACTTGACAGCTGAATCTGTGCTAAATCTCAGTTTTAAAAAAAAAAATTCTCATTTTTTGCCTATGGTAGCATCTCGTTTTTGAGTCCATCAACAACACAGGTTGTTTCAAAATTCCAGGTTCTTGAAATCTTGGTTCTCCAGCCACAATGACAGAATAGATACGCTTCTGCCAAGGGGCCCTGGGACGAGTGCTTCTAAAGACACCATAACTATACTTTCTTCTTCTGCTTCTTCTTTTTATTATTAGAATT